CAAAAATCAATCCATGATTTATTAATGGGTTAGGGTCACTCTACAATATCACACAGGTATGCAGCCAGATTGTTTCCAGTGAACAACGGGAACCTCTTGGTTTGGTATTAACTTTAGTCTCAAAACCAGTCTTGTACTCAAGTTTACTACATGGCAATATGGGCATTCACAGATATGTTAGTTGTGATACAAAGTAGGAAATACAAATAAGATTAATAGAGACATATGAACTTTTAAACAAAGAAGCAAATTCAGAGAATATATTCTACAATAATCATTAAGCTCCTTATCTGTGTCCAAAATATCAGCAATGGGTTAGCCTGTGAAGTTTGTCTCACATCATCCCGCCTAAATTTACTCTGCCGTGTGATTGCCAACTGAGTTCAAAAAGTAAAAATGGAATCTAGCCTTCATTATGCCAGGTAGGTTTAGATGGAAAAAAAAAATGTGTTGCTTTTCCAGATTTTCCAATGATCTATATGATAACACAACAATTATCTTGTTCCATTCATTACACTGGCATTTTTAAATCCTGTCCAACCACCAAATAATGAATTGTTGCTTGCTTTACCCTGTAAGTGTCAGTGTACCCTGGAATTAATGCCTGTTATCTCCTAAGCACCTATAAGCTCCTGATGATTTTCCCTGGTTCAGCAGCAACATCCATCATCCAGGAACTACTCTTCATCACTGCACAAAGGACTTGCCTGGTAGAAGCTGACACAAACTGCACCCTGCCTATAAGACAGCCTATGATAGAAGTTGCTCTATCCACAAATGAGCCTGCAAAAGCCAGTACAAACAAAGAAATTTATCAAGCAGAACTTCCTGCATTATCTGTGCACCACCCCTTCTTTCTCTCATTATAACACACACTATTTTTTTTCTGTAATGTCAGACTTATAACAGAATCACATTTTGTTTCTCCATAGTTATCAGCCCTTTATTATAAAAATCTCTAATTTATATAAATTTTACCTGCCTTCCTTTTAATTTCTATAGTAATTGATTTCATTTAGTATACTATTTGGGGCAAAAGATATGTCTGACTGTGTGTGACTATGTCTAATATACATCTGATTATGTTAAGCTCAAAGTCTAAACTCATGTTCGTGGAATCTAGGAAGTTCTCAATAGACACTAAGTGATGATTTTTATCTAGCTTTTTAAATCTGGGTAAATTTCCTTACCACATTTTTTGTCTATCTTCCTAATTCTTAACCCAGCTATCACCATCAGTTTCCCCTTGTCTTGCTTCTATGTGTTTCATTTCATCACAAAATAATTAAATTACCAGTCATCAGGATGAGATGAGAGGGAATCATAAGTGTCACTATGATGAGAACAAAAGAGAATCATATTTTCTACCAGGGTAATGATGAATGCCTATATTGGGTTTTCCCAGAGAAACAGAACAAGTAGAATATATAGAAAGAAATATAATAGATATCAATTAGGAACATTGGCTCACACAATTATGCAGCCAGAGAAATTTCACAATGTACCATCTGAAACTCAAGCTGGAGTTTCAGAGAAGGCAGTGATGGAACGGTAATTAGTAAAGAAGTGGCCATCACCTATTTTGGCAAGCAGTGTATCTGTGTGTGGAGTGGTATTTTGTGTGAGGCAGAGTGAACTCATTTTTGCATGTGCTGAGATTGTAATTATGAGATGGGCTTGTTTTGTCTCATTTTATCATTGTCTCCAAATAGCACTGCATGAGTTTGGTATTATGTGCAAATGTTCACTTGGCTGTGAGTGCCAAGACAACTTTCCAGTATTAGGGGATGCTCTTTTTTATTTTTTATTTTTTTTCGGAGAGACTCATTATTACTCCTAGAATAAAGGTAAACATCTTAAATAAGCTAAAAGCCCTCCGTAGTCAATCTCCTACCAGCTCTCACAGTGAGTTCTATTAATCCTCATTTCCTCCACTCTAGCTATGAGGAGAACTTCTGTCAGGTCCTCATGTGTACAGTGCTTCCTTCCACCCCAGGGTCTCAGCAAGTGCTATTCCAGTTCAGCTTTCACATTTTGGTTCCTGGAGTGTAAGAAATATCATGATATGCCCGAGACTTAATGTAATGCCTGGTACATAGTAAATGTGATAAATATTTGTTCAATGAATGAAGAAATAAACAATGAATTCAGGTATGCACAATCCAAGATTATATTCTTTTAAGTACATGGTGTTCTCTCTCATTGCCTGGTGAGTGGAGATATTCTACCCTTCCTCTTCCTCAAATTTACTGAAACTTGGAAAGAAAGTTGGGCTCTATCCAGTTTCCATACTAACTGTTCACAAGACAAAAAATTCAAGGAAAGAAAAAACAAGTGAAAAAAAATGAAGATCTTAAGAAAGAATTTACTTCTACTTTTAAAGGAATTATTAGGGGAAAGAAAGCATTCTTAATGGAAAAAGTAAGGTGAGAGACCCTTATAGAGAAAACTTGATCCATCATTCAAACCCAACAGTGAGGAAGGAAATATAAATTCCTAGAAGATCTAAATATTTTAATCTCTTTTTAGTTTGATTATAAAAATGTTTGATTTTTTTAATGGATTACACAAGAATTCCTCTTGGATTATAAAAGTAATATATACTTTTTACAGAACATTTGAGGAGAGGTAACAGAAACCCACAAAATATTAAAATGAATAATTTTCAAATAGTAGTACCACTACTGAAAACATGTGGATGTGTATTCATTCAAGATATATAGATAGACAATTTTTCCTTGGGATCATGCTGTTCATAAAATTCCAAATCATTTTTTTTAACTTTTTAAAAAAATCTTTACAGTAGCTCATATGAATGCCTTTATGCCATTACTCTTTGAGATTATGGTTTTAATTATTACATACTGTTTTATCTTGGAACTAACAATACTAATTACATATTATTACATAACAAATTACCCCAGAACTTAAAACAACAAACATGTATTATGTTGCACAGTTTCTGAGCATCAGGAATTCAGGAGGCATTCGATGGGTGGTTCTGACTCAGGGTCTTTCTTGAGGTGGCTGTGGACTCCAGCTGCAGTCTCTTCAGACTTGGCCAGGGTTGGGGAATTGTTAAAGCTCTCTTACCTAAATACTGCCTGGAATCCTCAGTTACTCACCACATGAGCTTCCCAGAGGGCTATTCCCAGCATGGCTTCTCCCATTCTGGGTTACTAGAAATGACCAGGGGAACATGGAGTGACGTGTTTACACTGTCTTTTACAATCTCATCTTCAAGTTATACAATATATAAGAGTCATTAGAAACAAGGCACTAAGGACAAATGTTTTTTTTCAATTGACAATAATACTTGAACTTATTCAATAGTTCCCATACAATGTTTTAATACATATATACTTTGTGTAATATTGAAATCAAGGCAAACATCTACCTCCTGAATTCTCATTTATTTGTGATAAACACATTAAAATTATTTTTTTCAAGCTTTTTGGAAATATACATTATCATGATCTAGTATCACTTTACTGTGCAATATGACACCAGAACTTATTTCTGTTATCTAAATTGTAGCTTAGAATCCACTAACTAATCTTTCCCTATCCCCACTCCTCCCTTCTCCCCAAACTCTGTGAACCACTATTCTCTCAACTTTTATGAAATCAACATTTTAGTTTCTCTATATAAATGAGATAATGTAATATTTGTCTTTTTGTGCCTGGCTTATTTTATGTAGCATACTGCCCTTCAGCTCTCTTCATCTTGTTACAAGATGGCAAGACTTCATTATTTTTTATGACTAAATAACATTCCACTGAATATATATGTACCTCATTTTCTTTGTCCAGTATGTTACTTGGAGGATTCTTAGGTTGATTCTATTTCTTGTCTATTGAAAATAGTGTTGCAATTAATGAAGGAGTGAAGAAGTTTCTTTCACATATTGATTTCATTTCCTTTGGATATATTATTTGGTTAGCAAGTTTTCTCATTTTTGAAACATCTTCATAAATATGCAACCTTCACATACCACATTTACTACAAATATAAGCTCACATATAGTAAAATTTTGCATTTTTACAAGATGCTTGCTTGATATTCAGACACTTTATATTTTTGTACCATAAAATATCTTAATTTTTTGCTTATTAAATCTCAAAGATACAGACATGACTCTTTAACTTAAAATGTTTTTAGTTAATCCAAAAGACTTTCCATCATGCCTACTTTAATTTTTTTTTTTTCTTTCATACTGATTGTATACATTCTCTGGCTAGGATCCTCCTGGGTCCCTGATTGTTTGTTAAATCACTGCTCTCTTTTATATAATAACTTTTAAGACAAAGCTATTTTTTTTATCTTATATGTAAGAGCTTTCCTAATAATCTGCTGGTAAATTCAGAGGTTTTAGCAGATTTTTCTATTTGTACATATATAATATCTGATAGTGGAGAATTTTTTTATCTTCAACATTCTAATGATTATGTTTTATTTCATATTATATTATGTTGATCAGAATATCTAGGGCATGTTTAAAAGTCACCGGTGAGTTTATTTTATTTGTAAATATAATATGACCATTTCTAATATTTAATTATTTAAAATAAGATTATGAAAGCTCAGTGTTAACAAAAAAAGAGTAAACTTTAAGAAAAACAGAAACACTTTAGCATTCTTCACATCTTCCACCTTCATCACTGTTAAATGTTTAATTTGTCCCTCAAAAGAGAATAAGGTTGATAACCAGACACCTAACATATAGACTTCACTTTTGCTCTTCTAATCTGTCTCAGTGATCATCATGCTTTCAAGAATTATCATTTGGGCCTGTGTTCTGTCATATTGGACCTTCTGGGTAATTTATGATACATTCACAGTTAATCATGGTGATTTGAACTTTTATATTGACTTTAGAACATAACACAACTCTTTACATATAAATAAATATCTCAAAGCTTACACTCTAGGCTTAGTTGTTGTTTTATATTGATTTCATTTTCATCCAGTGATAATTTGCTTTTTTTTTTTTTTACCAGACTATCAACACTACTGGGGAAGAATTCATTGTCTTTTTCATCAATTGTCATACTTGTATTAGTTTTCAACTGCTGATGTAACAAATGGCCGCATGTTTAGTGTATACAAAATATACACTTATTATCTTCAATTCTGTTAATCAATTGTCTTACATAGTCTAACAGGGCTAAAATTGAAGAATCAGCAAGTGCTCTGTTTCTCTATGCAGTCTGTAGAAGAGAATTTACTTCCTTGTCTTTCCCAGCTGCTAGAGGCCCTGCATGTCTTTTACTTTTGGTTTGCTCCCTATCTCTTTAAAGCTACCAGCATTGAGTCATGTCCTTCTCATTCTGACCTTTTCTTTTCTGTCCACCTACTTTTAAAGACACTTGCAATTAGGTCAAGCCCACTTAATAATACAGGGTAATATTTTCTATATTGATATGAGTTGATTAACAGCCTTAATTCTATCTTCAACCTTAATTCTCCTTTGTGATTTAAGTAACATCTACACAAATTATGAGTATTAGGATATGGTCATTTTTTTAGGGGACATCATTCTACTTATTACAATGCCTAAAATACTTAGCATAATTAGTACTAATTAAAAATTTTCCTTAGAAGTGAAGAAATGAATGAATAAAACCGATAGAGTTGGTATATCTTTTTGGTAGGAAATTTTACCAATATTTTTAATTTTCAAAAACACTTTTAACAACAATGACTGTGGAAGTTTTATTTTTAATGCATTTTGAGTATTCTATGTTATTATCATTATTTGTCTTATGGAATCTAGAAATGAGTTAATGGATTATTAAGCCATTGTGCTTTGTGGCCTAGTCATTTTGTGTGTGTGTGTGATTTCTTGAAGATGCTTGCATGTTGATATTGTCACCAAACTCAGGTTTGGAAGTTCATCCCATGAGAAAAAACAATGCCCAAGAGACAAGTATTGGGGACAAAGGTAAAAGACTTTATTGAGGATGCTGGCAACCTGGAAGGAGACAGACATTACAATGCCTTTTAACTTTTGGGAAGTGGAGAATATTTATATGAGGATCAGGTTAGGGCAACTTGTAAAATTTAGCATTTCCCTGGAACTTTAGTCAGGAAGTCGGGTGGTTTGGCACCTTCCACAGGTGATGAAACATTGTGATAGCATTTTCTTACCTTGGGGACAGTATGTTCCCATTTGGGGTGAGGGGCCTATTTTAGAATCAGCTCATAAAAACAAGCAAGACTACAGGAATGCATGGTGGCATAGGCCATAGTCTGAAAATGGAAATGGAACAGGAAAAGAGTAAAAAACTGGGGAACAATTTTACCTTGTTATGCAGCTTTGATCAGAGATGTCATTTGCAGTAAAGCTAATGGGAGAATAATAATATATTATTTAGTTATATGGCCTCCAAAATTAGTGATTCTTAAAGTCAACTAAAAGCAAGTTAAGCCAGAGGGATTTTTTTAGGTTTCAACTCTGTTACAATAAGACACCTGTGATTTGGATTTTAATATCATTGAAATAAGTTTAATTAGGTTTATTCACTTAACATAAAATGATACTAATAGCTTACATATGATAAATGTTTATTATCTTCCCCATACTGAGATAACTTATAAATGCTGTATTTTTTTTCTAACTGTCCTATCTGTCCTATCAGTTTGTTTTGTGTAAAATTTTATGATCAATGCTCACAATAACTATTTATCAGGCTATATTTTAGTCTTAATTTTATAGGTGAATAAAATGAATTTTATAGATGTTAAGTAGTTTTCCTGTTGTACCCTTGATAATGGTAAATACAACACACCAACTATGATTCTTTTGGGACCATAGTCTATGCTATTAACCACAGTATTCTGTCAATTGGTACATTCCCTGCCATACTCTTTGTTCTGAAACAAGCAATACAGCAGCATTTCTTAGATAAATTGACAGTGCATTTTTACAGCTGGGATTTAGAGGTCTTTCTAGTACCAGAATACACTATAACCTTGACAGTGACTTGTTTTCTTCTGGATCAACCTGGCCTCTCCTCAACACCTCCTATTTCTTAATAAGTTCATTAAATCCTACCACAATTTTTATCAAATAGTGACTTATTGCCAAGAAATATGCTCGGTGCTATATTGTCTCTGTCTTCATACAGTTATATCTTATCATAAGATCCACAGAATAAAATGAAATTAAATACTAAATAAAAACTACAATTACCACTGTGAAGGAAATTAATAAATTGCAAAACGGTACACTAAAAGGATTGAGCTAATTTACAGAGAGGTCAGGAAAGCCTCCATGACCCTCTAACCCTTGAGAAGATGATTTTCTAAGCTGACATTGGAAAAATAAGGAACCAGCACAATGAGGAGGAGCCATGCATCTTTTCCATCTCCTGGTACTGTACAATATTGACTGAATTTCTCTTTTTGTTAAGGAAGTAAAAATAAAATTATAAGCATAGTCTCCCTCTCAGTTATATGTTATGAAAATCCTTTTCCTTCCTTTTGCAACCTATGTTTCATAGGTTCTATTTGGGATTTCTGTTTGTTCAATACCTATATCTCCCTTTTCTGAGACCTGATTGGTATTGCTATCTTCCACTTCAGGGTTTAGGTCATTATAAACCCTCACTTATAATGTGAATCTGGGTCCACACCCAGAAAATATAATATAAATGAATAAAATATAATCAATTTAGGTAACAGTTTTATCCTACAAGTTTAGATGTTAAAACGCTTTTTCACAGACTAGCTCATCATATGTTCACAATTTCAAACACAACATATCACACTTTGTTATTTAACAACAGGCCTTAAAAATGTATTTCACTGAATTCTGTTGATCTTTTTATGGACTGAAGAGTAAAGACTGGTCCTACTTAATATAGTCCTATTTTTGTCTTTGATGGCAGTTATTGATACTGCCTGCTGGATGAATCCAGGATGTCTATTGGAAAGGTGAGTATCATTATACACAATTTCTGATAGATTACATTGATTTTAAAATAAAAAATATTGACATAGTATTGGAGGTTTGCAAGTCAATAATAGGAGTAATGAAGCAGCATAATAAACCTAATACACATGTTAATCTAGGAAATTAATTAAAAATGGATGGCAGAATATAAATTCTATGTCTTAAGGCATCTACTACTTTTGGCCAAATTGTAGGAGTTACTGTTGATATAGTAAATGTGCTGTTATTCTGTCTATGTGCAAATCCTCAAATTTTGAGAATGCAAGATAGTCAAGGGAGTAGCAATCCATTACACTGAACTATAAAATTTTCATTTGGGGCTGGAGGATCATACTAAAGGGAATTGTAGGCAAGGTCCAAATATCAAACAGAATATTTACATCCTACTCAAAACTACCATGTTCTGGATCTTTCATTTCTTTTGGAGGATTCCAAAGGGAAATCTCAATGGTTGCACATGGACTGTTCACTTGTAACTGACACTGAATGACTTTCAGAAGCAGAAAGTTCTAACTGCAAAGTCATTCAAAGTTCCCTAAATTGCCTCTCCCTCCCATAAAAGTAATGTCATTGACTCAAATAAATAAATTTCAAAATATTATCAAAGACTCAATTTTGTAAAGTAATGGTAGACACCAAAAAATAATGTAACTTTTTCACAAGATTTACTGGGACCCCAAGCATCACTTTCCTGGTTTGTAAAAGAGGAAACCATGCACATTTCACATAGAGAACTTATAAGCAGCTTAAATGCTCTGATATAGTTGAAGACTGATCAGAAAGCCAGACTCATTGAAAGTGCTCAACAAATACTAACCTAATCATTTTAAAATCCTTAGTCTGCTATTTAGATTCTTCTACAAAATTTAGAAAAAAAATTTGCTGAAAAAGAATCTATTAATGAAATAAAACACACCATACATCTGAAAACACACAATTTGACTAGAGTATGACGGAGGCATGCACTTAGAGAAACTGTCACATCTGATGAAAAGGATGAAACTGGCTGGGATTAGTGAAGATACGTGTGAAGTAATGGAAACATACTCTCTACAAGCAAGAGCTCAAAACAGCTTTACTTTACCTATAATGCTTAATATAGTGCTCTGATACTATTAGCACTTATTTGATATGGAGGACTGATTAATTTAAGAGAACAACTAAAAGAAAATCCCTCTATCTCAGGGTGATAATTACTGAGAAGCAATGATATTTTCCAAGAAAAAAAAATCTATGAAAACAATTATGATACATTATAATATCCAGAGATGAGTTTTCTCATACAATGGAGAAACATTTACAGTCAGGACATAATAAATGTTCAACATAAGATACTTGACAATTCAAAATCTACCCAAGAAACACTATTGAGCATGGAAAAGAAAAAGTTCCCTGTGACATTTTACAGTCATGTAACTTATTGAAGTCTGAAGTGGAGGAAAAAAAAAGCTCTACTCATATGAAGTAAATAAATCAACTTTTCGGTCCCTGGGTTTTTTTACTACAGTGAGTTTTAGAAACAAATCATATATAAATAGACTTTTTAAAAAAACTTGTTTTGAGTTCAGTACAGGGGATTGAATCCAGGGCACCACACATGCTAGACAAGTGCACTACCACTGAGCTTTATCCCTAGACCTACACCATCTATAAAATCACAGGGCAGTTTATCAGGGAGACATAGCTAGAGAAAAATACAAAGAAATCATATTTAAGGATCCACTTTCTCTCTTTCTGACTGCTTTTCGAAAGTTCTAAGAAATAAGCTGTTTGGAGTTTCTTGAATCATGCTGTGCATGGCACATATTGCTCCAAATCAATGAGCATTCTGCAGTCGATTTTGTGTTCTGAGACCCCAGAAACCCAAACAGTTTCTCTTCAGGCCTGCCCCACATCTGCATTTTAATTACTTGTGATATTACTTTGAACCAAGCTATGCTGTGTGGGGATATTCTGATAACAGAAGGCATGGTAGATAAGCACACGATCTTAAAGTCAGTATTGTTTAGTGGATTTGGACTGGGGATGTAGCTCAATGGTAGAATGCCTGCCTTGTATATGATAGGACCAGGATTTGGTTACCAGAACTGGGGAGAAAAAAAACAAGTATTTGATAGAATAATGACCCCTTAAAAATCCCACACCTTAATCCCTGAAAATTGAGATGCATATATTATCTTATAGAGCAAAGGGGACATTGTAGATATGACTTAAGTTAAGAATATTGACACAAGCAGATTATCCCAAACTATCTGGGTGAGACCAATCTAATCATACAAGTTCTTAAAAGTAGAATAAAAAGGGGGGAGGGGCAAGAGAAAAGGTAGCATGAGAAGTTTGTACACTTTGGTGCTGATAATGGAGGGAGTAAGGACTATAAAGGGAACTACAGAAATAAAGGCAGCCAGCTGACAGCCAGTCTTGCAAATGCTGGATCTGAGTTTCTCCAATACCCACTGAACAGAAAACAGATATTCTCCTAGAACTTACAGAACAGAACTTACAGAACTTACAGAACTTACAGAACTTCCCTTCACCTCAGCCCAACGTGACAGATGTTAGACTTCTGACCTACAAATAAATGGGATAAATGTGTGTTATAAACTTCCATATTTGTAGAAATTCATTATGGCAACAAAGGAAAACTAATACAGGCTCAAACCCTGATTTTCCACTCTTCACTGCTTGGCCTAAGGTAAGTTCCTGAACTTCTCTGAGACTCACTTCCCTCATCAGTACAATGATGATGATAACAGTATATATCTGAGATGGTGGTAAGGATAAAATTTAAAAAAATATACAAAAATGTTTCATGTAGTGTCTAGCATACAGCAAAAGTTTAATTATAAATGCCATTATGTGGAATCAATATTTAAAAAGAATAAAGAAATCTAGCATATAATAAAAGTATAATTATAAGTGACATTATATGGAATCAATATTTAAAAAGAGTAAAGAAATTTAGTGTTCAAAAAAAGTCTGAGAAAGGCTAGAATGACTCCTTAAAATAGCTTTATTGAGATGATGGAAAACTACACATATTTAATATATGTAATTTGGTGAATTTTGACACCACAACCAAGATGATAAATAACAGATGCTGGCTTAACCTCTTTATTGCAAACCCACTCAGAAAATTTAATAATACATATACTTTTTAATTTTTAAGAGGACATACACTTTGCAGTGTTCTCAAAGTTTTGAGAAGAAAACTTAATTTACAAAGAATAATTTTAAGCCACTGGGAACATGATTGAGGCCTAACATTTTAGAACCTTCATTACAATGGACTGAATGTTGGTACTGTCCCAAATTCATACCTTAAAGCCATAATCTTCAATGTGTTGCTATGTAAAGGTGAGGCCTTGGGAGACAATAAGGTTTAGATGATGCCATGAAAATGTAGTCATCGTGATGGCATTAGTGGCCATAAAATAAGAGGAAGAGAGCAGAGTAACCTCCTCTTTCCATCACATAAGCACACAGCAAGCAACAGTTTGCAAACCAGGAAGAGGGCTTTAACCAGACAGCAAATCCACTCTCAGAACTTCTAGAACTGTGAGCAATTGATATTTTGTTGTTTAAGCCATCCAGTCTATAGTATTTTGCTATGGCAGGACCAGGTGACTAAGACATATAAAATGCAAGCATTCTCTGGAAAGGATAATAAACATTTACTATTAATGTTTTGATATATAGGAGTATAAGGAT